TGCATTATGCATTCTAACCAAAAAGGTCAAAGCAACCCAAATGTTGACTTGATAAACAAAAATGTGATATATCCACCTAATGGAAATTTTTGGCCATAGAAAGAATGAAGTACTAATATATGCTACAACACGGATATATTAGATTCTTGGGGCTGTCATAACAAAGTACCACAAACCGGCTGGCTTAACAGAAATTTATTGTCTCACACAGTTTGGGGACTAGAAGTCTGAAACCAAGTTATTGACCGGGCTGGTTCCTTCTTGGCGCTGCGAGGTAGAACATTTCCAGGCCTCTCCTAGCTCCTGGCCCCAGGCAGTCCTTGGCTTATGGATGGTGTCCTGCCTGTCTGTGTCTTGATGTTGTCTTCATGTCTATCTCTGTGTCCAAATGCCCCCCTTCTCATAAGGACTCGATCATATTGGGTTAGGGCACCCCCTGACCTGATCTATTTGCAAGACCCAATTTTCAAATAAATTGACATTCACAGGTACCGGGGGTTAAGATTCCAAAATATTCTTTTGGAGACACAATTCAATATATAACAGTGGATGAACCTTGAAAACAGTACCCTAAATGAAAGAAGCCAGTCACAAAAGGCCAAATATTGTATGATTCCATTTATATGAAATATTCAGAATAGGCAACTGTATGAAGACTGTCATTTAGTGGTCACATAGGTCTGAGGGAGTGAGGGAATAGGCAGTGGTTGCTAATTGGAAAATTATATGTCTGTAAAGCTGTTTAAAATGTAACAACAATAACACACAGAATTCTTGTATGCCCTTTACCCAGTTTCCCCTAACATTAGCATCCTATCTAATAATAGACAAAGATTGAAATTGACCGTACCTTCCCTACGCCTCCCATTGGCTAATCACAGAGATATGCCAACAAAGATGGCGGTTAATTTGCATACGTAGGCGCGAAGCGGTGGAGCCAAGACTGAAGGCGGCTCCGGCACTGGTTTTCCTCCGGCACCCGGGACCCAGGCCTATTGCACGAATCTTTTCGTGCAACAGGCCTCTAGTATTATGTGACTGTAATACAATTATTCAGAAAATTAACATCTGTATAATACTATGAACTATTTACAGACTTTATTCAAATTTTACTAATTGTCTAACTAAGGTCCTTTTTCTGGTTCAGGAGCCGACTTAGGACCCCGTGATGCATTTGCTCATCCTGTCCCTCTAGCTTCCTGCCATCTTAGGCAGTTCTTTAGTTATTTCTTTGTCTTTGATGACCTTGACACTTTTGAAGAGTATTGGAGAGTTATTTTGTGGACTGTCCCTCAGTTTGGGTTTTCTGATTGATGAGTCAGTCTCCATTTACAGAAGATTGTCTCAGAGGTGACCTTGTACCCTTCGCAGGGCCTTGCATCAGAGGGTAGTGACATTGGTAAGTATGACTGGTTAAGTCCGAGCACTTCTTGACATTTTTCAGATTTCTCCATTGTGAATATTTTTAAAAAATTCATTTAAAAAAAGTAACTTGTGTGGAGAAACTTAAAAATTTGCTAAGAAGGTAGATCTACTCTATGCAAAGCTACAAATCTCTGGCTTCCCCAGAGTCCCAACACAGTCCTACCAGCAGGGTCTCCAGTACCACCGTCCAGGCAAGAAATCAGACTCCTGGTGCTTCCTGCTCCGCCATCCTCCCCAGTCCCTAGCTCTCTCCCTATTGCTCAGCTCCGCTGATGAGTGCTTCATGGACGATTTTTGCATCTGTGTTTGTCGGAGAGATTAATCTGCAGTTTCCCATGTTTGGATGGTCTTTGTGTGATTTTGGTTTTCAGGGTAATGCTGTCCTCATAAAATGGGTTGGGAAGCCTCTCCTTCTCTGCTTTTTTGGGAAGATAATGTTAGAGTTGGTTCTTCTTTAAATGTTTGGTAGAAGTACCAGTGAAGCCATCTGACCCACAGTTTTCTGTTTTGGCAGGTTTTTAAAAATTTTTCACTACTAAGTCAGTGCCTTTACTTATTATAAATCTATTCAGATTTTCCATTTCTTCATTATTTCAGTTAGGGTTGATTGTGTTTCCAGGAAACCTTTTTTTTTTCAGTTAGTTATCGAAGTTGTTGCATAACTGTTCATATTACTCTATTACAGTTCTTTTTATTTCTGTAAATCATTAGTAATGTCCCCACTTTCATTTCTGGTTTTAGTAATTTGAGTCCTCCTTTTTTCTTTTTCTTTTTAATTTTATTTATTGATTGTAGTGATAGGAAGAGAAAGATAGAGAGGCAGAGATAGAGATAGAGATAGAGAGAGAGAGAGAGAAACTGATTTGTTCTTCCACTTATTTATGCACTCATTGGTTGCTTCTTGTACATGTGCCCTGCCTGGAGATCAAACCTGCAACCTTGGCTTATAGGGATGATGCTGTAACCAACTGAGGTACCCGGCCAGGGCTCTCTCCTTTTTACTTAGGGAGTTTAGCAAGATTTGTTAATTTTGTTGATATTTTAAAAGAACAAACTATTATTTTAATTGATTCTTCTCTATTGTTTTTCTAGTCTCTATTTTTTCTTTGCTCTAATGTTTAATATTTCCTTCCTTTTATTTACTTTGGATTTGGTTTGCTCTTAATTTTTTTGTTCCTTATGGCATAGAGTTAAGTTGTTGATTTGACATCTTTTTTTTTTAATCCTCTCACAAGGATATTTCATTTTTTATTTGAGAGAGAGAGAGAGAGGAAGGGGGGGGGGTCAGTGTGAGAGAGAAACATTGATTGGCAACATACCCTGACCAAGGATCAAACCTGCAACCCAGGTATGTGCCCCGACCAGGAATCAAACCCACAACCTTTTGTTGGACGGACGAAGCTCCAACTGAGCCATTCAGTCAGGACTGTTTGATTTTTGTTTTTTATATCCCACGTATGAGTGAAATAACATGGTTCTCATCCTTTCTGTCTAACTTATTTCACTTAGCTTGATACTCAAGATTTATCCATGTTGTCACAAATGGCAGTATTCCATTGTTTTTATGGCTAAGTGGTATATTCCCTTGTACCATATCTTCATCCAGTCATCAGTTGAAGGGCACTAAGGTACTGTCTATTGTGAATAATGCTGCAGTGAATGTAGGGGTGCATGTATCTTTAGAAATGGTTTCAATTTTTGGGGGGTAGATCTCCAGAAGAGGAATTGCTGGGTAGCTCTCTTCTTCATATTAGTATAGCTTTCTTTTGGTTAATATTTGCATGGGATATCTTTTTCCATTCTTTTACTTTGTACCTTTTTCTATCATTAGATCTAAAGTGAGTTTCTTTAGAGCAGGGGTCCTCAAACTACGGCCCGCGGGCCACGTGCAAATACAAATATTGTATTTGTTCCCGTTTTGTTTTTGTACTTCAAAATAAGATATGTGCAGTGTACATAGGAAGTTGTTCATAGTTTTTTTTAAAAACTATAGTCCGGCCCTCCAACGGTCTGAGGGACAGTGAACTGGCCCCCTGTTTAAAAAGTTTGAGGACCCCTGCTTTAGAGTGTACACTGTATATATTCAAAGTTTTTATTTATTTTTAAATTTTTTTATTGATGTTTCTCTCCCTTTCCCTTACTCTCTGAAATCAATTACGGAAAAAAAATGTTCTTCCACCTACAACCAGAACCATAGTCCCTCTCTCCCCGCCAGCCTCGCCTTTCCTACTGGGAACCGAAGAAGCTGGACTTAATGGGAGCCCCTCCACCACCACCCTTTCAGAGCCGAGGGTCTGCTGCCCAGGAAGGCCCTGTGCTGACCCCGCACCACAACATCAATGGTCAGCCCTTCCATTCCTGATCCCCACCCCGTTTGTCAGCCCCCATATCCCCTTGAACTAGAGACAGCAGAGCAGACAGGGCCTCTGGACCAGGGCCACTAGGACCCTGGGGAAGGATGGGCAATAGCAAGTGAAAAGGCCCCCAAACCTCCCTGTCCTTGTGAAGATGGCTTTTCCTTGCCTGAGTGTTTGCTTGGTTCCACTCTGTTCAAAGTCCCTACAAGATGAGTGCGGAGGATTTCTGGCTGTGTTCTCCCTGTTTCTGTGGAGAGAGAGCTTGGAACTTGCTCATCTGCCATTCGGGGAAGACTGGTTTTTAGCCTATGAAATGGGCGGCGATCAGCAAACGTGGAATTGATAAGAGTTTTGGGAAACTGGCCTGTCATCCCTGTCGGTGACTTTGCTGGGGCACAGCAGGTGTGTGTATCTGGTATGCACATGTGTGTGTGTCTGGTGTGCACGTGTGTGTGGTATCTACACATGGGTGTACGTGTACTGGTACTTAGGTTTGTGTGCATACAGAGACATGGTATCCGAAAGACTTCGAATCCCGATATCCCCTGACCTGGACATTCAGCCCCTGGAAGCTTGGCTTGAGGAGATGACCCGGCGACCAGCGTGGGAAGCTGGGCTGCACCGACGGGCTATTGGGCAGGAACACCAGCAGCAGACGTGCCACCAGGGCTGGTGCGCACAGGACGGCCACCGGCGGTGAAATGCCTCCGCCCATTAAAACGTCCAGAAACAATACTTAATTTCAGTGAACTTATACTAATTATTAAAGATCTATCTTAAAGCCAGCAACAGTCATTGAAGAAATTACCCGACCTCCCTCACTCCAGCGGTTGCCCCTCCCCAGAACCTTCCTAACCCCGTCCCCGAGGATTCTCTACCCCCC